ATCCTGCCATTTTTGAGTGACACACTTTCCCCCATTATAAATGTATGAATATAGAGTAAAAATAAAATGTGAATTAAAGAGTAAAAAAATCGTTCATTAAAAATATTCCGCCAAAAAATAATAACAGTGGCATTGCCTATTGTTTCATAAAGATATTTGCTTTTTTTGAGCTATGGAAAGAACAAACGAATATTTACCGTTCAAAACATCTTAACGCAGTCTGTAGCCTGCTCATGTAACTGGGCAGTTCGACAGCCGATGGATTGAGAAGGAGGATTTTGGGCGGACCCTTTAGCTCCTTTTGCTTTTGACCATCCGTTATCAGATCAGCTGGAACGAGGCAGCAGAGTGGCATCTGACTTAGCAGAGTAGGTGAAAGAATATGTCGGCCTAGTGCTCTTACATAGCGCGGCTTTAAATTCACGGATGCCGGAGCCAGGGCATCGAGAAGAGTAAGGGATTGCGCCTCAAGACCGTATTTCTTAAGCCAAGCATGGAGCAGCATACTTTGAAGAGGCGAGTTAGAAGCAAGAAAAGAAATATCAGTTGCAAGGATTTATATGAATACTCTTTCCCTGGGGAAGCAATCGTTCAGGAATATTCTTGGGCCTCCATATTAAACAAATATGGACCTCCAGAAACATGTTGACGCAGACAATAAAAGTCATAAAGGCATGGAAATGTAACGCCATGCTCTAATGAAAACCAGTATAGACAGGCGGCATGATACAGCAACCTATGACCCAAGCTGTAAAAAGTCAGGAAACTACAAAAGTTTTGTATATCTATTATTATTCAATAATTAGTAATATAATTTCCATTTATATACTGAATGACAGAAAGACTTTTATTTTCATTAAATGAATCCTGAAACCTGCTCGGTATAAATTTAGGCCGACTTGAGTAAACTTAAAATACCCTCTTCTACCATGATAAGCCAATGGACAAAAGTATTAATAAATTTCACAATATATGTTTCCAATATTTTTTATTGCTTTATTATAGCGGTGCTGTTCTATGTCCTGTTTGCTTTCTAAATATTAATGGATCTAAGGCGGCTAGTTAAAAAATAACATATATGGCCAGTACACTCAAATTTTAATAACATCTTGACTACTTTTCTCAAAATACATATAATTTTCAGACTGACTGATGAGGAAAACCGTCCGCTTAAATCTGGGTATGCTTCTAAACAGTCTCGGTCCAAAAGTTTCTATGAGACTTTTGCTGAGATTTTTTTATTGCTCACATTTCGGATTTATAATATGGCTTGCAGAGAATGCCGCCCTTAGTAGGATTACGTTTTTGGACCCAAAATCTCCCACAAGGTAGGCTACGCCTTCTAATTTTCGTAAAACCTCTGCCTTCTGATACTTAATGTCATGCGTAAGATGCTTAAGTTCTGGTCGGAATCTTCTGAGAAGCGAAGACTTGATCTATCTGAAGGGAGGATAGTGCTGACTAACAGTCCCACTCCTGTGTAACAGGTGCATAAACAAAGGGCGGAGACTCAAAGAGAAAAAATAACTAATGCATTAAGCTCATGAAGAGGAAAAGGATGAGTTATAGTGGCAGGTTCGCATGGACTGTGATGCAATGGGTCAGTTAAGCAGTCCCAAAGTAAGTAAGTAAAAACAAAGAATTTGAGGAATATCGTCAAACGAATCCGATCAATGATGTAAGAGTACCTTTCATTTCGTTTAAAGAAACAAGTGGAAGGTACTCACCGAAAGCCAGATTGCCTTGAAGTTGTGACTAAAGCTTTATGCGAATAAATCTTCGGCTTCCCGTCATACCACCCCGATGTTTCCTTGCTGAGTTTAAGCCCATCGTGTAATGAACAACCTTAAAGCAAGACAACATACTTTATAAAAATTCACCACGAACGAGTATCAAAGAATCGGTCACCTGCAAGTCTAATTGCTTTGCCCACTCAATGAGACGTCGCATAATTTGGCTTGATATTTTATGCTATCCCCATATGCTGGCTGAAAAGGGAAGCGTCTACTGATGACATGTAAATTGACCGCGGATCAAGCATGAAGTTGATGCAATTGTGATCGAACAGTCGAATCCTTCCCTAAATCACATATAATTTTGATGCATTGCAAGTGTGCTGTATACATGCAATGCTTGTAAGTCGTGTAGAGTATGAAAGTTAAAAGCCAGATTTAAGGCTAACCAACTCTTCTCTTGCATGGCCGTACTTTTTGTTCCCTCTTATCCTATAATCCTATCCAACAGGGAAAAGTACTATTCTTTCTGTTCAGAGTGTTGGCTGCTGTGTTTAGCTTTAAAGTAGATCACCTTTTAGCAAAGCAAGGCTATGCGAAATTTAATGGAAACGTCATCTCTACTAATATCATTGTGGATAATTCAAATACAAATCCTTCAACATATTAAATGAAATAGGGCGAACACAACTCATATATCTGATTTAATGGTAGTCCCGAAAACATAGTCAATAACGAAAAAAAGTAATATTGTCGATTGCTACAGTAAATATAAGTTTGCGTCATCGACAATCTCAACACAGGACGGAATATGGAAAATGCCGGACCTATAAAATTCACATCTGCTCTGTGACCCAAGGGCACTCGTGGAAATCTGGTGTAGTGGCTAACGTGTCGAGATTATACGCTGCATTTTCATGTTTAGACTCTCGTTGGGGGTGTTGATAAGACCTAGGCGAGGTCGAAACTGCAGTCCATTCAGGATGAAAACACCTTTTACGAAATTCTATGGAAAATTCAGCTCTACCCATAGAATTGTGGTAAAATTCAACTACAAGTCCTTCATGACCTAAAACGAAATGGGGCGAACACAACTCTTTTTACTTCTAAAGATTCCCTAATCTTCCCCTAATCGGTATAATTCCTATATCCAGCTAAGCGTTTGACTTTATACAAATTTATCTGGTGCTCTGCATAAGCCGGGTGTTCGGTCATCTCTTCTCTTTATACCCAGAATCCTCTGCAGGCTGATTTATGTTTAAATACCCTCTTATGTATTGGTTAATAGGTCTCCCGAATCGCCACTATCAAAAAAGCACAAAACTTTCTAGCAGCCCGGGTTGTAGAGAAGCTCAGAGCTCAGCAAGGAATTATAAGGGCCGCAGCACGGTGGGCCGAGGACTTACTCGCACAAATCTGCGGCCACAGGTCCAAGGCAATCCTCCTACGGCTTCCGATGAGGCCAACTTAAGAATCTCCTCCTCTCGCCTCTTTAAATGAAATGAAAGGTACTCCAACATTAATATATTGAAGGATTCTTCGAAAACCAGTTTTCCAAAATACCTATGAATCCAATAACTGTTGTCCAGATGCTAACTCTGAAAAAACGGACAGGAATGTTTATAAAAACTTGATGTATTTTAGTAAAATCGTAGGACCTGATGACGGACAGTAGCAAAGGCTTGCCTCATGGCTATAAGTATCTGGTACGGGAAGTGTTCGAATGACTGTCCGAAGAGGTATGTGCAAGCATAAATGGCCCCTAGAGAATCCACAATGAAATCAAAAAACTGATGATTAGCGAGGAAATGTGATTTCCCCTAGAAGAAACTCCGAAAATATCTCTGGCTTTTTAGATAATACATGTATAACTCTCCTCTTATAGCAAATTGGTTTCATCACTATCTCTGATCGGATTTTCACGAGGTTGGGCATGCGCCTAGTGTATTCAGAATGAAATTGTGGGAATCAGCTCTAAGCTATTAATTCAGACAGTATCTAAACATTGGTAAGAGAAAGAATCCATTTCATCTTTAAATAAGGCTTTAAATAAACTTGCACTATATTTTTTTATTTGATAATCTGTAAAATACCATATTTTTATCTCCAGTATCCTCTAAAAGAAATTTGGAAGCATCCTCTCTAAATTTTAATGTACATTCAATAGAAGTAATTTGTATTCCTTTAAGAATTATGATACCGAAGAAAGCCAACCATAATTGATATTGTTGATGCATTCTTCAAATTATATCTACCATCAGACCAATCAATAATTCATTGAGGATTTCCTTAAGTTTGTGCTCATTCTTAAATAGTTCTTTTATGTCAGAGATACTACATCATCTAGGATCAAACAGCTCTTTAGAGGTTCAGCCAAATAAGTTAATCAAAGTCATATATTTATCGGCCTTTATTTTCGAATGCTTGCTTTATTTATCGCAAAATATATTTATTTCACAGAATAGCACTCTGATTTAATATAAAAATGAAACTTCCTATATGTGAATGAAAGCTTGCCATAAAGGAAACCAATAATAATATCATTTAATTATGCTTATCATTTAGATGTAAAAGCTAGTCAAACGGGGATCGCAAATTAGTTACTTTGATAAGAAAAAAAGGGCAGTCCATTTTACAAGCTCTTATTCAGACTGCCCTGATTGATCTGCAGATTCCTCTAATCAGAACAAGATCAAGTTTGGCCTCGACCTTATTGTTCAGCTCAGCAAATTATTTTGTAGTTTGAAGAGAGAATGAAGGAGTCTCATGGAGATTATTAGAGAAGCTATATTACAGAAATCGGAGAATATGAAAAATACTCATGTACTGTTTGGATTTCATCTGTTTTGGTGATTAATATTGAAGACTAAAAGTATAATATAATAAAGCGATTCACAAAGAGCCTTATATAATAGGCCTCGGCCATAAAATACCAGATATATGAGTTGTTTTCGCCCTATTTCGTTGATTTTTCCCACAATGATATGAGTAGAGCTGACGTTTCCATTGAATTTCACGTAGCTTTGTTTCACCAAAAGGTGTTCTCATCCAGGGTTGATTGAAGTTTTGACCTCGCCTAGGTCTTATCAATATCCCTAGCGGGAGTCGAACCATAAAAGTGCAGCATGTTAGTTCGACACAGTAACCACTCCCTATGGAGTTGTTGATAATACCTATGCGAGGTCGAAGCAGCAGTCCACACTGGATGATAACAACTTTTGGGAAAGCAAGGCTATGTGAAATTCAATAGAAACATCAGCCCTAGTCATACCATAGTAGGAAAAATCAACTTCCAGTCCTTCATCACCTTAAACAAAATAGGGTTAACACAACTCATATATCTAAATTACTGGTAGTCTCGAAAACCTACTCACAATTAAATACCAGATCCAAAGTCCCTATATTTAATTAAAGTTATGAAGACCAAGATGACGTGGCCTTTTGTGTGGTCACAGTCTCTCTATATTTAACTTATTAAGTTACTCTTTAGAGGCTTCAATTAATGACTCAAGGATAAAGATCAATATTTTTCGTACGTTAGTAGTTTCGAGAGTTTCATGCTAAAGATCAATATTGCCTGGAAATGATAAGAAATATATTTCTTATCTGCTACGAAGCTCCCACCTAATTAGCCCAAACTTTATCGTAAACACAAGAAGTTGGTCATCTGTGCATTACTGTATATATGATAGTCGCAAAGATCGTGATTTACTATAGCACAGACCCATCCTATTTATGGTGCATCGGCATTCGCTAAGCGACAGTAATGGTA